ATGCCGTAATAGACTAGAATTTTCGGTCGGGCCGTTTTCCACGGCAAAACTCGACGGATTCCCGTTGCTGATACGACGAGTTTCATTGCCGCATTGTTTGCGCGGCCGTGTGTGCTTACGGAGCGCGCGCGGGGAAATTACGGGATTTTCGAGTCGGGCGGGATAGGTTGGGAATGGGCGGGTCGAGCGGGTGAGGTTATGGCAGGTACCCGCTCGTTGTTTGACTTAACGAATCCATTATCCGGCGTCGTCGCGCGCGAATCGTTAAAACATCGCGCGTAGTGAGTTTGTAAACTCGCGTCTCGACGGGCGCCCCCCCATTTTCCCCCGGCCCGTGCCCTCTCCCGCCACCCATCAGTCGCTAATCCGGCCTCGGAATAGACCGCGTACAACAGCGATCCGCATTATATTCGAATCATATACAACGGCGATCCGGAACACTCCCCGGCATTCTCGTATCGGCCGCCGACGTATAGCCGGAAAACTTTTTCTCCCCGTCGAGTTTCGGTCGGTTTTCAGCGGTTATAGGTTAACAAGTCGGGAACGGTAGCTGGCGTATAGGTGAGTCTAACGTACATCTGTGCGCGACAATCAGTATTTTTCCAACGGAAAACGAATCTGAGCGGCGTTCGGTTACGCGTGTTTTGAAATACCGTGCGGTAGTTACGGTATTGCAATAGTATGTCTCGTGAATTTCCCAGTTTTTCCCGTTTTATTGCGTAAACGGTCGGGAAAAAAACCGGAAAATCACCTCCCTGAGGTACCGTACCGGTGAAAAACGCCCTATGCTCGGAAGTCCGACGACAGTCGCGGATACCGGGTGTGCCAGACCGCCCGGCGTCCTCGCGAACGCTCGCGTTGTCTCGGGTCGAAACGTCGCCGACGACTTTATTCGCGCGCGCGTTTCCCGCCGGCACAACACGTCCGACACCCGGTCGACCGCAGTGCATCGCGTCGCCCAGCCGCCGAGACGGAACACACTTAGGCGCGACGTGCACGTAATAACGTGTGCGCCACGGCTATCGCGTGCGTAACACGACACCGCGCGTGTATCGCCTGCGCGTCGGCCGGTCGGTTTTTTTTCACATTTTTTCCCCGTCCCCGTTCCGTTTGCCGCCGACGCGCAACCCGTCAGGGTGGATTAGTTCAAAGATAGGACGAGTGAAAAAAAAAAACAAAAAAACGCGCGTGTACACAAACAATAACGAGAAAGAAAAAAAAAAAACCAAAAAATGTAAAGAAAAATCTCCCGAAACGCCGGCTCTGCGTAAGCGCGTACGTATACCTACACAACAATATTAACAATGCGCAATACGTATACGCGTGTGTGTACGTATGCCTACGCCTACCGGTTTTTTCGACGACGCCGTACGGAACGCATGTCAAAATATCCGCGTGTCCGCATAATCATAATACACGGGGTACACGCGGTTCGGTTTATCGTATTATTACTATTATAATATTACGGTCGCGTTGGCCGGGCGACGGCAATAATATTACGCAGCGCGCGCGCGTGTGCGTGTTACGGTATGCTCGTAATGATATGCGTGGGTTCGACGAAAAACCCCCTCCGTTCGTACCAGAGTCACTTTTACGGTTTTCGGGATCGTTTCGCCGTGACAACCCCGCGAGTCGGTTTTCTGCGAGACGGGCGTCGGAAAAACTATAAAACGATTTAGCGTTCGCGATGAGTCGGCAGCGGCGGCGGACTATTACTTCGATTACCCCGGTTAACGGGTTTCGGGGACGGGACTGGATGTTTGTGTAGTGTTATCGACCCTCTCGGTCGTTTGCTACGCGTAAACGAACCGTCGGGTACGCGGGTTAGAGCAACTGTGTGTGTGTGTGTGTGTGTGAGATAAATATGCACGCCCGCATCCTAGAACGTTGTGAAAAATTGTTGAAATTCGTTTTCCGTGTTTGTGGGTGGAAAATTCGGTCGTTAGGTGAACGGTCGGCGTGTTTCGCGTAACGCGCCCGGCGCATAAAAATTTTCGATAATTTTCGGCATTTTCGTTGCGGGGTGACGGGAGCAATGACAGTATCGTAGTCGCCTGGCAGTCGGCTTTTCCACGGGCGTACGACCGACCCGCGTCCGCGGTAATATAACAACAGAACAAGAAGACAAAAAACGAACCGCGACTACGACGCGCAGGTGTATTGTGCGCCGTACAATACGGTTCGAAATGAAATTAAAAAGTCCGTTTCCAACCCCTCCCCCCCTCACACGCACACACACACACACTGGCTCTCAATTGTTTATGTACGCGTACATTGTATTATAGTGTTTAAAAGACGCGCACAACTTCGCGTATAATATCCTATCGGGGCCGCGCCTTTTCCCCCCGCGTCGTACTATACCTGTATACGGTATATACGTACACCTGCCCGCTCATTATTGTTCCGTCGCGGGAAATCCGAAAACCGTTTCGCCGCCCGCCCCTCGCGCCGCATAGCTTCCGTTTTTCTTCATTAGTTTTGTCGTTTCCCCCCCCCCCTCCTATCGCCCGTTCTCGATCGCGTCGTTCGGTCGCCGCGGCGGCAATTCGGAAAACGGCGCGGCGGCGGCAACCGTTAAAACGTCTCCGACGATAGTTTACGGGGGCGCCGGGAGCGGGGTAAATGAGAGGCACGAGACTATTTCGCCTCTCGTACATTCCGTTTCGGTCCTCTACTCCCCCCCCCCCCCAAAAAAAAAGCACTCCGGCCGACGCGAATAATAATAATATTTTTACGGCGCCGTTTTCTTTTAACGATCCGCCATATAAATTATAATGACGTGCCATAATAAATACATTACTACCATTATACGAGCGTATGGGTTTCGAATTTCGAACAGAACTGCGGGCCGCAGAGTCCGACCGGCGCAGCATTCGTTTCGGGGGAAAAAAAAAAATGTTTTTGCGTATCGTTTTTGCTCGACCGACCGAGATCTTCGGAACGATTCCGGGGGGTTCGACTGACAGTCGTTTCGTTCTTTCAGCCATCTGTACCGATCGCTATGGGCCGGTACGCGTTATCGGTCAGTTATTTTCATTTTTTTTTTTTATAAATACAACGAGTCCGCGACTACCCAGGTCGTTGGCCGCGATCGACGCGGCGCACAATTTGTTTCGTATGAATCGGTGTGTTTCTCGAACTCACTACAATAAACTTCCGACGTTCTGTACGGTAGTGGAAGTTTGCTGGACCGCGAGCCAAACATTGTTCGGGGGGGATGGGGTGATCGGGGTGCGTTTTAAAACCTACGTATACTCGGACCGCGATATTGTCGTAGACGAAAACGTCTGGAACGTGAAAAAAATAAGTTTTCCGTTTGGAATATCGGCGGAAACGGTCGACGTGTCCGACGACTGCTTAAACGGGAAACGATATTATTTCGATCGGACGACGGGAATACGATTAGTTTCCGCGGTTACACTGCCGCGGTATAAAACGCGAGGAACGCCGCGGTCCATTAACAAAATATTATTATCGTATCTCGCGCGGGTTTGTTGTTCGCGCGATAATAAATTATCCGTTTTCGCAGCGCACGGTCGAAAGCGGGACGAACAACAACAACAACAAAAAAAAAAAAAAAAATATTAAAAAATTGTACGGGTTTTTTTTTTTTGTTTCGATTTTTCCGAGGGAGAGCTTAACCCGCGACGGGCTTTCAGGCCGTCCGTCGGCGCGTACGCACGACGACGACGACGACGACGACAACGACAATAATATTATGACAAATCGTTCGCGGGCTATCCTCCGCCGTCGTTGCGGTGCGCCCGTACAGTTGTACGACGCGCGCGGAACTCATTGTAAAAACGAGCGTTCCGATTGGCGGTCCTCGGCGGCGGGCGCCCGCTTTGATTGATCGCGTTTCGTCGTACATTCGTCATACGCGCGCACACTCGCGCATTATGTGTAGACGGCCGGCGTACGTGTACGCGCGTTATTCGTGTATAATAATAACTATTATCATTTATTATCACCGCGCGCCGCCGTCGTTTTGTTGTTTCGATTTCCACCGTCCCCGGAACGGGCGCGCGGCCGCGGTGTGTCGCGCGCGCCGCGTCTTTCCCACGTTTCGGAACGACCGCGGCACGACCCGCGGTCGTCGGGCGGGCAGAGGACGGCGCGAAAAAAAACCGTCTCGGCGTCTCGTCCCCACCACGGACATTATGTTTCTCGTGAACGGTCCGTCCGGACCGAATTCCTCCCGTGCGTCGCATATTGCCCGCCGTTAATTTTTTTCGGGTTTTTTTTTTTTTTTTTCTCCTTTTTTAATTATCGACAATTATTATCACTGTATACGATATTATAATAATAAACCGCGGGCGGCGGTGAGTTATGGCCGGTTTCCCTCCCCCCAAACCCTTCCGTCGATTACCGGTCGCCGCCGCCGTACGTATGGGCGTACGCATACGGCTACGCATAAATACCGCGCCGCTATATTACGGCCGGCCCGTGGCCGCGGCACCGAGAGACGAACGAGAAAAAGAAAATAATAATAATAATAATAATATTAGATATATTTCGAAAACCCGAGGCGCTCGGACACGCCCCGGACCGTACGTTTCCACTTAGCCGGGCCATCAATCAACGTTTATTATTACGTCCGCAACATCGGCGGCGGCTGCGGCTCTCCCGAATAATAATATTTTACACGTGCCCGTCATCCGCACGAGCGTACGATGACCGTTACCCCCCCGTCGCCCCTCCCCTTCCCATCCCCCGCCGTCTTTCCGGCCCGTACTTCACCGCGTGGTAGGCCGTCCGCGTGTGCCCACGTATAGTACCGGCGGCGGTGCGCTATGCCGCCGCGGTCCGGTGCATAACGCCCCGAAAACAAGACGAAAATCCCCGTAAAGCCCCACGAAAATCGGACGGGTCCGGTCGCCCGCCCCCGCCCCCGCCCCCCTCTCACCTGTCCACCGACGGCCCGCGGCCGTCCGGCCTAGAGGATCAACCGCGCCGTCGTTTTCCCAGACCGTAAAAAATCACCGGACGCGGGGGGAAAAAAAAAATACATTTTTCATATTTTTTTTTTTTCAAACCGTTGATCGTTCACGTACCCGCACGATAATTCGTACCCATTATACGGACAATAAACAATCCGATCGACAAACAATCGCCTACCGCACGCGCGCCCGCCGATGTTCCCACAAACCGGACCGGCGGACATATACCGGGCGGCGATCTGTTCGGTTTCAATACGTTTCAATTTTGATTTTTCCACTCTGCGTTCCCATTTCGTACGCGGCCGTATTTATTCCGCGGTGTTCTCTGTCTATGTTCGATGCGTACGAACCGACCGGTCGACAGTATCCGCGTACGCCGGAATATTCTCATTGACAAATACAGGGTAATTTATTTCAACTCCTTAAGTGAAACGCCGTTTTACGGGCCGGCACGTCTTGCCGTGATTGTCAAATTACCGGTCGCCCGGAAAATAATAATATTCTCCCGCGCAAGAGCCGTTCGCTCGTCCGGCCGTTTTGTACTGGACGGTCCGCGTTGTCGGCCGAAAGTTTAGCGGGCGCGGTCCGGTTCCGAAAATCCGCGGACCCGAAAACATCGCCGCAGAGCCCATGCGCCCCGGTCGGCCGCGTGCGAGAGCCGAGACGGCACGTCGCGTCGGTATCGTATGTTATGGTTTCGGGGCGGACACGTTATCGCGGTACTGTACTTGCAAAGAATAAAAAAAAAAAACAAAAAGGGAGAAAAACAAAAAACGAAAACCGTTACGGTGTTCGCGCGTGTCGTCGCGATATTGCCGTCGTCGTAGTCGGCGTTTTATACGGGCGCGCGCAATACGCGTAACAACGACGATAACGTAAACGCGCGGGGACTTGTGCGCATTGTCGGGTCGCCTGTAGAAAAAAAACAAAAAACTAAACAAAACTCTCTTCGGACGTCGTGTCATCGTGACGGCGCGACCGCGGCGCAGTCGCGCGGACGCCGCATTTACGGGGTTCCTCTGCCGCGCGTTATCCGATCCACGACCGGAGCCGCCCGACGTTTCGAAAATAGAAAAAACGATTTATTTTTTTTTTTTTTTTTTTTCTGTTTACCCGTCCGTTTCGATATTACAATGCGTACGGTGCGCGTGCGGGCGGGTACGGCGACGGCGGCGGCGTAAACGTGTGCGACTCGGGAGTCTTTTCAGCCGTATAATATAATCGCGGATCCGAATCGGGAGGTATCGGTAGAGGCAGGCCGATATATTATTTTTATTATTATTGTTGTTGTTGTAATATTTTCTCGTGCGGCGTGTGCAGACGGCGGTTTCCTCCTCCTCCTCCCACCACCATCGCTTTCGTGCCGTTTAGTCCGTTCGGTTTTCACGTTTCGTACCCGCCGTCGTCGCACGGCCCGTAATAATACAGAGTCCGCACTACCGCCGGCGTAAAAGGAAACGCGCGGACAATAGCGGAAACCGCGTGCGGACCGTCGTCCGTAACGACGACGACCGGTCGCGCCCGGGCCCGAAGACTACGGCGGCCGGGCAAGAGGCGCCGGACGGCAAAGGACGCGCGGTTCCGACGCGGGGCGGGAAACCCTCTTGCAGGGTCGGCGTGCGAGAAATCCCAACGGTCCGGCGGATTTCCCCCGCGGCGGTTACCGCCGGTAGCCGCGTGCGTTCGGGTCTTGTCGTTACGGTGTCGCGCGCGAGGTTTCCGCGTCCGGATTTTTTTTATCGCACACTTGTAATTCGCCTGCGAACCGTCGCGAAACTACAACGACGCGTGCACTTCGGTCGGCCGGCCGTCGCACTCGGCACGCTGTGTCGGCCCCCCAATGTCCGGTCCCGGGCAGCACGGACCGTCCGACGCGTGTACCGCGTTTTATTGCGTGTGTACCCCCGTACCGTATCGTCGACTTGCTGCGTTTAGGCGTTTACGTACGCCGCGGCCGTTCTCTCTCTCTCTCCCGCCGTTTACCTGTGCCTCGGACGGCAAATAACGCGTTCCGGGTACGTCCGTCGGGCCGCGTGTTCGAAATCGCGCGGACCGACCGAAGTTTTAGAGGTTTAGGTATTTACGCGTTTCCGCGTGTGTCCCGGCGTTTCTCGATTTCCGTCGACGAGAAAAATGACATTCGGAGAAATTCGGAAAAAAAAAAAAAATCCGTACAACGTTTCCCGACGGCACGGCGAGTGGGCTTGTCGGCGGCGACTGTATCGATCGTCGTCGCCCGTTCGCATATAACGTACGCTCGTGTGTGTGTACGGAAGGCCCGCGGCGTCCGAGACGGCCTTTTCCGGAAACGACAAACGGGACGGCGGGGGTAGTTGGCCTCGTAAACGGCCGGTGGACGCTCGCTAATATCGTCTTTGGCGTTTTTTTTTTTATCTTCCGTTTTGTTCCGGCCCGCGCCCGCGCAATTACGGCCCGCAGACGCGCGCACGCTATTTGTACGCCGTTTATTGTTACCGTTTGCGATAATCGCGTTAGACGTGTACAGTCGCCGCGCACAGTCGTCGTCACGCGGGCCGAGACAAATAATAATTTTACGATTTTCACGGATGAACGGCTCGGCGACGGCGGCGGCGGCGGCGCGGCGACTCGACGCCGGCGAATATTTTAAACAAACACGATAATAAATTATTGTTTTACGCGCCCGCCCGCGCTCGCCGGCCGGCATCGTGATTTCGTTTTATCATTTCCCCGTAGACGGTTCTACGGAAGACGATGACCGTGTTTTTCGGCCGCGTTCCTTTTTTTTTTCTTTTGCCGCGCGAATTCGAATAACGCGCCGAGGCGAGCAGAGACGAGCGGAGGCGGTCGGAGGCGAGCGGAGAAATGAAACCGCGGCGTTCGCGGTGAGTGATATCGGCGGAAAATTCGAACTCGTGTCCGCGAAAAACTAACGTATTTCCGTACATTTTCTTTTCGAGATTTTCGACTCTTTCCGCGCGGTAGTTTCGTCGAACGAAAATGCAATCGTCACGTCGTTCCTTCGTGCCGGACCGCGGTCTCGTCGCTAATGTCGCGGGCTAAACGAAAGACCGCCCGGCGTTCCCGGTCGCGGAATAACCGCGAAACACAAAAACCGTTCGGTCAACACCCCGTAGAACGCCCCGTATGCACGTGTATCTCGGTCGGCTCTACGCGTACCTATACGTACGTGTAATAATGCCGACCCCGGTCGTAACGATGTACGCGATATCAAAAGGTGTTCCGCGCGTTGCGTATACACGGGAGATAATCTCGCGAATTCGCGTAAAATATTTTATTTATTACCGTTGCGGAACGTCGGACGGTATTTTTTTTTTAATTTTTTGTTTTTTTACGCGTGTAATAATAACGTTACACCGATAGTTATGACATTATAAATGCGCCGTCGGGCCCGATGTTTTATGCGCATACCGCCCCGGCTGCGGACCGTAATAACAATAATAATGATAATAATAATAATAATAATAATAATATTGACCGTCGCGTATAGAGAGCGCGGGCACACGGCATCGTTATTATTATATTATTGTATAACGGCCACATTTTGCGTGCGATAACCCTTTCCGAAAAAAAAAAATTATAATATCCGACGAAAAAAAGTGCCTACCCGTCCCCGGGCGCGGGCCTCGCCGAGAACGGCGTTATCGTTGTTGTTATATTATTTAGGAAAAAAATAAAAAAAACCACGATATTCGACGATTCGATTTGTTCGCTTATCCGTTTTCCGACCCGCCCCGAAAACCCGTGTTGTATTATGCACCGCGCAACGGCCCGGGCGTAATGTTTTTCCGAGCCCCGTCGTCGTTTTCGCGAGGTCACCGTTCGTCGCGTGTCGAGCCCGTGCGGAACGCATTTCCCGCCGAATCGGCGCGCGTTTTCCGCGGTTTTCCGGTTCGTTATAACGACAAACCCACTCCGCGCAGGGGGCGACCCCCGTTTTCCGCGCCGTAGCCGTCGTCCCGGACGGACCCGCGCGACTATAATACCATACAGATACTCCGCGTTCCCCGTGAGAACCCGCGGTTTTCAAAGGGCAAAGGGTCGAAAAAAACGGCCGTTTTACACGCGACGTGGGGAATTTATACCCGGGCTACTTTCGCACACGAATCTCCTGGTACGCCGGCGTTTCTCGCTTTCACCCGACCGTAGAAATAGACATAAACGTATAATAGCATTTTTCGGACGTTTGCCGAATCGGATCGGACGAACAACAGAACGTCGCATTCCGTAACGTTCCGATTACGTCTGCGTAATACTTACGGCGTTCAACGCGGCCGAAATTCGCTCGGGGTGCCCGTTTCTCTCGTGAAAACCGCCCCGTCCGTTCGGCACCGGCGACGCGTCACCGAAACCCCTCGTAGTTTTACCGGGACTCGCGATTCGATATAAATACCGTTCAATTCATCAGCCGACACTTCGAAACGTATTTCGGCTTTCGCTCGGCGCGTACTCGGTTACCGATAATGCGATTTCTCGACGTTTCCGAAAGTTTAACGAAACCCCGGTCGTTGCCGTGACGGACAACAACAACAATAATACCGATGCCGTTGCGACGCCGACAGACCGCGTTCGACCGAATTTTCGAATCATTTATCGGCAAACGCGGCGCGATTTCCGCCGCCGCCGGCACCCGGAGCGTCCGGAACACCGTTGGAATTATCGCGCGCACACGCGCCGTGCAACGTTGTGCGATATCGTTGTTTCCGTTGTTATCGTCTCGGGAATCCGCGTTTCCGGAAGCCTACGCCCGCGCCCTCCCCCCCCTCCCTTGTACACGGTCAAAGTTCACAAACGTCACGTTGTCGCGCGCAGCGTTTAAACAAATACGTCAATATTGACGGTTCCGCGCGCCCGTCGTTCGGTGTACAGGGCGGTGTGCGCCGTGCAGTCTCGGGCGTTCGCCGGGGGTCGGATTACTGTCGATAATTCCCCCGTTGACCGTTTTGCCGTTGACCGGCCGCCGAACGGCGCGAAACCGCGTGTGGGCAGGTAATAAAACCGATTGCCGCGGGTTCGCCGTTTCACATCGGTTTTACACGCGTCGCGGCCGAATCGCGAACGGCAGACGAGCCGCGGAGAAACGCCGTGGGTTTCGCCGAAACGCGTGTTCCACGCCGTAACTCTTCGCCCGACGGTACTTTGTGTGGAATGTTAGGAGGGGGCGCGGCGCGTTGTGCACCGCGTCACGGGTTTTCGACGCGCACGAAGAGGGGGGGGGGTAATTTATTTTTAAGTCGCTCCCCGGTCTTCCGGTCCGGTGCCGGAGGCGACCGCGGTACATTTCCGTCGAAAAACGATTCTCGGCGACGGCGGTAAACACGCGGTGTAATTGATACGGGAACGACATGCGGCGGAATCGGCCCCACCCTGCCACCGATTGTGCGGGTCGCGAAAGATAATCCCCCGAAAACCGGAGTGCGGTCGTCGTGACACGGAAAAACCGAGAGGATTTCTAAGTGGAAAAGCGTTCGCCGTGTGAAAGCGAAAAAAGGCCGCTCTCGCGTCTCGGTAAAACCGACACGTTATATACAATACATAATAGCTTGCTCGTTTTTTACGCTCTGAAAAAAACTAATACGTTCTGCCGCCCCCCGCCTCGGTTTTTCTCTTTTACTTTTTCCGTTTTGGCACAGTCAATTTGTACATATTTTTGTTTTTTTATTCTTTTATGTATCATATATTTAATACGCTTCGCGTGCGGCGACGGCTTTCCGCGATCGATTCATCATCGCTAATTTATTAGTTTTTTATTAATTTTTTTTTTTTTTTCCCCTGAACGATTTCTCTCGCGCTTGCAAAGGTGCAGTCTTCATTGCATTACGCGGTGTCGATTTCCCGAGGTCGTCGGCGACGTTAAACGATAGACGGGGCGTCCTCTCCGCGGCCGAAGCCGACTACACCGTCCGGCGGACGTACCTATACGGCCCGAGGTCCGTCGAGGTCGCGTCTTTCAACGGCGCACGTAATATATTATAATAATACATGAAAATATAAATTATGTAATTTCTTGTTCGTTTCCTCCACCCCCCGTCGTCGTTGCATTTCTCTCAACGCCTATACATCTCGGCGGAACGTATTATTATTATTATTATTATTGTACGATTTATAACGTCACGTCCGAAACAAGATCGCGATTATCGATTGTCGCGCGAGCGTTCGAAAACACGAGTCCGACGGACCGTTGCGCGCGAATATAACGCCGCCGTCGTAATCGGTCGACCCGAACCGTAATACATCACTGCCCCCCTTCCATCCTCCCTCCGCCATCCGTCTGTCCGTTATCTCGTTATTATATGTTTTATATTGTATTTTTTTTTTTCGTTTTTCATTTGTGTCCGACGA